ATGGTAGGCACACCCGCCCACGTGCAGCCGCACAGCGCTGCGCACACGCCTGCCAAATGGTAAGCACACCCGCTCACGTGTACCCGCGCAGCACTGCACACACGCCTGCCAAATTGTAAGCACACCTGCCACGTGATAAGCACACCCGCTCACGTGTAATGTAACCGCGCAGCACTGCGCACACGCCTGCCAAATGGTGAGACAACTCTTGAAGTGCTTCTTGTTGGTGCACAACATCCCCTTGGTTGAAACTCCTTTTTTGGGGAAGAGCAACCCTTTTGTTTGCAAAGTGTGGCAAAGCACATGTGCTGACGTCCAGATGCCATCCCTTGCTGGAATGGATGTTTTTCTCGGTCAGCGCTGAGTTTGCCATGGTTTGACCAAAACGTCACCAAGTCGCAGTGTTTGTCTGCGTCGCGCGCAAAAAACACTGGTATTTGCGGCGTTCTAGCGCCTTCCCGCTCCTCCTGCGCAGCACGCGCTGAAACACCGCAAATACCAGCATACACCAGTGTTGTTTTGCGTCACTTACGAAAAACACTGCCAGGTACACATCAGCACTGCGCACATTCCTGCCAAATAATAAGCACACCCGCTCACATGTACCCGCACAGCACTCCGCACACGCCTACCAAATGGTAAGTAAGCACACCCGCTCACGCGCACCCGCACAGCGCTGCGCACACGCCTGCCAAATGGAAAGCGCACCCGCTCACGCGCACCCGCGCAGCACTGCGCACACACGCCGGCCAAGTGGCAACTCACGCGCACCCGCGCAAAGCTGTGCACACGCCTGCCACATGGTACTCACGTGCTCCCGCGCAGCGCTGCGCACACGCCTGCCAAATGGTAGGCACGCCCGCCCACGTGCAGCCGCACAGCGCTGCGCACAACGCCTGCCAAATGGTAAGCACACCCGCTCACGCGTACCCGCGCAGCACTGCACACACGCCTGCCAAATGGTAAGCACACCTGCCACGTGATAAGCACACCCGCTCACGTGTAATGTAACCGCGCAGCACTGCGCACACGCCTGCCAAATGGTGAGACAACTCTTGAAGTGCTTCTTGTTGGTGCAAAACATCCCCTTGGTTGAAACTCCTTTTTTGGGGAAGAGCAACCCTTTTGTTTGTCACAAAGTGTGGCAAAGCACATGTGCTGAGGTCCAGATGCCATCCCTTGCTGGAATGGATGTTTTTCTCGGTCAGCGCTGAGTTTGCCATGGTTTGACCAAAACGTCACAAAACACTGCAAGTCGCAGTGTTTGTCTGCGTCGCGCGCAAAAAACACTGGTATTTGCGGCGTTCTAGCGCCTTCCCGCTCCTCCTGTGCAGCACGCGCTGAAGCACCGCAAATACCAGCATTTTCTTGTCCTGCGCGCGGATACATCGTAAATACCAGTGTTGTTTTGCGTCACTTACGCAAAACACTGCCATGTACACATCAGCACTGCGCACATTCCTGCAAAATGGTAAGCACACCCGCTCACACGTACCACACGCCTACCAAATGGTAAGTAAGCACACCCGCTCACGCGCACCCGCACAGCGCTGCGCACACGCCTGCCAAATGGTAAGCACACCCGCTCACGCGCACCCGCGCAGCACTGCACACACACGCCGGCCAAGTGGTAACTCACGTGCACCCGCGCAAAGCTGTGCGAACGTCTGCCACACGGCAAGCACACCCGCTCACGTGGCTCCCGTGCAGCGCTGCGCACACGCCTGCCAAATGGTAGGCACACCCGCCCACGTGCAGCCGCACAGCGCTGCGCACACGCCTGCCAAATGGTAAGCACACCCGCTCACGTGTACCCGCGCAGCACTGCGCACACGCCTGCCAAATGGTAAGCACACCTGCCACGTGATAAGCACACCCGCTCACGTGTAATGTAACCGCACAGCACTCGGCACACGCCTACCAAACGGTAAGAAAGCACACCCGCTCACGCGCACCCGCACAAAGCTGCGCACACACCTGCCAAATGGTACGTACACCCGCTCACGCGCACCCGTGCAGCGCTGCACACACGCCTGCTAAATGGTAAGCACACCCGCTCACGTGCACCAAATGGAAAGCACACCCGCTCACGTGCACCCGCGCAGCGCTGCGCACACGCCTGCCAAATGGTAAGCACACCCGCTCACGCGCACCCGCGCAGCACTGCACACACACGCCGGCTCACGTGCACCCGCGCAAAGCTGTGCACACGCCTGCCACATGGTAAGCGCACCCGCTCACGTGCTCTGCGCAGCGCTGCGCATACGCCTGCCAAATGGTAGGCACACCCGCCCACGTGCAGCCGCTCAGCGCTGCGCACACGCCTGCGAAATGGTAAGCACACCCGCTCACGTGTGCCCGCGCAGCACTGCACACACGCCTGCCAAGTTGTAAGCACACCTGCCACGTGATAAGCACACCCGCTCACGTGTAATGTAACCGCGCAGCACTGCGCACACGCCTGCCAAATGGTGAGACAACTCTTGAAGTGCTTCTTGTTGGTGCACAACATCCCCTTGGTTGAAACTCCTTTTTTGGGGAAGAGCAACCCTTTTGTTTGTCACAAAGTGTGGCAAAGCACATGTGCTGACGTCCAGATGCCATCCCTTGCTGGAATGGATGTTTTTCTCGGTCAGCGCTGAGTTTGCCATGGTTTGACCAAAACAATTCTTTTGTTGAAACACCTCTTTCCAGGAACTTAAACAACAACAACAGCAGCAACAACAACAACAACAACAACGCCACGAAGCGACATAACGCCGCGGCCATTAAGAGACAAGCTATCTGAAACCTTCAACAAAACACCGCAAATAGCAGTGTTTTTGGCTGTTCAATCCATCAAAAGTAGCTTTTTGTCAACCCCCGGATTTTGCAAAAATCGAGGGCTTGCGACAACCCTGTCAGCAAAGAAACGTTGCTGTTGCTGTTGCTGTTGTTGCTGTTGCTGTTGCTGTTGCTGTTGCTGTTGTTGCTGTTGTTGCTGTTGCTGCTGTTGTTGCTGCTGCTGTTGTTGTTGCTGTTGCTGTTGCTGTTGCTGTGTCTGTTTCTGCTGCCGTTGCCGTTGCCGTTGCCGTTGCTGTTGTTTGTTGTCGTTGTCGTTGTCGTTGTCGTTGTCGTTGTCGTTGTCGTTGTCGTCGTCGTGGTTGTTTTCGCTGTTGTTGTCGCTTTTGTCATTGTTGTTGTTGTTGTCGTTGTTGCTGTTGTTCGTGGTGGTGCTGGTGGTGGTGGTGGTGCTGTTGCTGTTGCTGTTGCTGTTGCTGCTGCTGCTGCTGCTGCTGTTGCTGCTGCTGTTGCTTGATGTTGATGTTGTTGTTGGCTCCTACGCGACGTGCTGTTCGCGCTCAAGCTCATTTTCCTGTCGCCTGTGTCGAAGATTCAGAACAAGCCGCTCAAAAAAGAGCATTTTGACCTAACAGGCGCGTCGTATCGTGAAACCATGCGACCACCCATTTTTTGCGACCCTCGCACGGTCATTTTCGTGTAGCGCGCGTGCAAGATTCAGGGGCGTCGTTTCGCGATGGCGCGCTCGACCGCGTCCGCGTCCCCGCTGGCCTACACACATGGCGTCAAACTCAAACGATAGTGTGTTTGCTCGACGACGTCAACCGCAAAAGCCCAAATGATAGCGCGCCGGCTCTAAATGATAGCATCAGCCTCCACGCTGGCTCGCAAACTGATGGCCCCAATGATAGCTGGCCCCCTCTGGCCGGCACACGCACTGATAGCGCGCCCGCACGCCCTTTGATGCCGTGTGCCCACAGAGGTTGTTTGCCCAAAGAGTTTCAGGAATTGAGAACTGCAAAGTTGGAATTGAAGTGTCAGTCCGAGCGCGCGATATGCCTGGCTGGATGGTTGGTTGTTGGTGTGTGTGTGTGTGTTCTTGCTTGTTTGTCTGTTTGTCAATCTGTGTTTGTTTGTTGCTGGGTTTGCATTTGTGTGCTTGTTTGCTTGCTTATTATGCATTTGTTTGTTTGTTGTTTTGCTTTTGCTTGCTTGCTTGCTTGCTTGCTTGCTTGCTTGCTTGCTTGCTTGCTTGCTTGCTTGCTTGCTTGCTTGCTTGCTTGCTTGCTTGCTTGCTTGCTTGCTTGCTTGCTTGCTTGCTTGCTTGCTTGCTTGCTTGCTTGCTTGCTTGCTTGCTTGCTTGCTTGCTTGCTTGCTTGCTTGCTTGCTTGCTTGCTTGCTTGCTTGCCTGCTTCTCGCTTTTACACGTCCGCAGCGGCCTCCCTGACTCCTGTTTTTCGCGGGCATGCCAAAAGCATTGGCCTTGCCAATGCCTGCCAACACAAGCAGACGTTCACTACCCTGCGCAGTGCAAAATGACGTTCGAAGCCCCCGACAACAGGTAGATTAACAGTGCTGTTGTAGAGACCCTTTGCGCAAAACCATAAAAATATGTGGTTTCACTGACCATGCTTGCCCAGCGCGCATGAGCAGAGCGTTCGAACATTGTTGTTGCCGTGGCTGTTGCCGCCGCTGCTGCTGCTGCTACTATTGTTGTGCTGTGGTGTTGTTTTTTGGTGTTGCGTTGTGTGGTGAAGCGTAGTGCAGTGTAGCGTAGTGTACTGTAGTGTAGTGAGTGTTGCTATGTGGTGTTGTGTGCTGTTGTGTGCTGCTGCATGCTTGTGTGTGGTGGTGCGTGTTGTTGTGTGGCTGTGTTCTTGTGTGTTCTAGTGTGTTGTTGCGTGTTGTTGTGTGTTCTGGTGTGTTTTTGTGTTGCTGCGTGTTGTTCTGTGTTGTTGTGTGTTCTGGTGTGTTGCGTGTTGTTATGTGTTGTTGTGTGTCGTTCCGTGTTGCTTTGCGTTGTTGCGTGGTGTTGTCTGCTGTTGTGCGTTGTTGTGTGTTGTTCTGTGTTGCTGTGTGTGTGTGTGTGTGTGTGTGTGCGTGTGTGTGTCGGCACCGGTGTCAGTCGGGGTGCGGAGAGGGTGTGTGCGTGGGAATTCATGCAACTGGCACTTGTGCCAAATAGTCGCAGGGAGTTTCCATGATAAGCACTCTCCCAGGGCTGGATCAGCTTGTCTGGCATTGTGTTCGCCATGGGCAAGGGCTACGCGCTGCCTTTGGCCAGCGGTTGGTCGAATTACGGCGGTGGGCCGCTGGGCTTGGATTGCGGGTCAGAAAGAACAGCGTCGGCAAGAAGCAACGCGTGTGGATGGTCAGTGCACTTGAAAGGACATATTGTCTTAACTATGTGGTGTGCTTGTTAAGTTGTTTATATTTGAGTTCTGCGATGCTCAGCGAAGCTGCACATAAAAGAGAATATCCGTTGCTACTCGCGTCACTGCGGGTGGGGAAGTACATGGGTTGATGCGCAAGCAATGTCATCGATGATCCCTCCTCACAAATGGATGTTCCTTATCTGCGTTAGTGAATGATGATTCGCCCAGAATGAGGTGTCGAGTCTCTCGCCCATGGGTTTGTTGTCTTTGTTTTGAGGCACAGTTGTTCAGAGGCAGCCCAATTCCTTCCTTGTTTGCAAGGTTCCCCACCAAAGATCGACTCAACCAAGAACATCACTCGGAGGTTCTCGCCTGCAACCTATAAGCAGATGGATGGCCTGTGCTATGTGGAGGGCCTTGTCGCTGGACCTGCTGGCACCTGGGGAAACGTGGCCACACTGCCAGCGGAATGCCACCCGAAGAAGGCGGAATGTGCGCAATGAGACCCACCACACATTTGGTGGCTCGTTTCCAAAGGGTCGTGAAAAGGAAATGAAGGCAAAGTTCGCAGTTTTTTTAAGGAACATTGCGAGGACCATTTGCAAGGAGGCCCACAGACTAACCCCCCTTGCACCCATGTCAGGTTTCGCACTGTTCATCAAGGATCCAAACAGAGGTTGGTTCCTTGGCCAAAAACGAGGCGAACGCGGTTTTACAAGGTTGGATCGTGCTTGGGCTCAATGCATTTGAATTGGCCGTGCTAGAGTGCTTCTGGCGCTTGCCTCGACTGGCGGTTGCGTAAGTTGACAAGCAGGGCTCCTCCATAACGATTGAAAGCACAATTTCAGCTCAAAGTGCCACGAGGAAAGTTGTCTGGAATGGCAAAGTTATCAACTTGAAGGGGCAGCCCCCAAGCTATTTCGTATCTTAAGCCTGAAACAAGATTACGGCATTTGAGAGCAATATATGGAAAAACCCTTTTCTACAAGAAACAAAGAATTCAGCATGTCCCCTTCTTCCTTTTCCAAAAGTTTTCTCGGGGCTGCTTTTGGGAGGCTTTCATAGTCTTTGCATTGTACCCTTGGTGCCTGTGGATTTGTCAAGTTGTTGCCAGATCCTGATCTTCAACGTGAACAATCACGCGAGCATCGCCCGCGTGGATGTCGCGACGGATGGCAAGATTAATTGGATTGCAGGTGGAAGCAATAGCTGGCTCAGCCTCACTGGGATCTTCTTCGACCCCACTGCTGCCTGATCTGAGTCTCAACAAACCTGTGGCGCTGGCAGAGCGTTATTAGTTCTACTTACTTGGATATGTAGATGCTGGAGCTGCCACGGAAAAATAATGTTGATTGCAATTATCATTTGGATTATCTGTACTGTTTTCTTTGATACCTAATCTCACGAATTTGGGAATGATTCTAATATAATTAAAAATTGAAAAATTGAATTACGAATTGAAATATATATTGTTTATTTTATTTGATAATTAATATATGTTTGTTTTATTTAAGGCTAGATTTTATTTGATGAATTGATTTGATGTTGATGATAAATTATAATTGGTTTGGATATTTGACTATTATTGAATTAGGTTTGATGGGATTTGGTATTTAGAAAAGAATGTATTATTTCAATTTTGGTTTTAAATGTTTATTTATAATTATTATATTTTAATATTAATTTATTTTATAAAATGATTTTGTTTGTTGTATTTATATGTGTTTTGTTGAATTATGTTTTTAAAAAAATTTGGATATTTTGGAAAATTGGTCCGGGTTGTTTTTGGAAGATGTAAATATTTTATGTTTTATGAATTGTTTATTTAAATTTGTTTGGGTTATTTTGATTATAATTCGGCAGATATAATGATTTTATTTGTTTCTTTTAATATTTTGAATATTTTGGGTGTGTTTTCGAAATATTTACTTTATAAATTTTATTTATTAAAAAATTGTTTTGATGGTTATATATTATATATTTAATAAATCGTGGGTTTGTATTTTTTCATGTATATTTATTTCTATACAAGACCCTATATATCGTAATTTTAATAATATTGGTCATTCTTGACATAGATATAATATAAAGTATTCTCTTTATAGGGTTTAGGGTTTAGGGTTGCCAAGATGAAGCGCGCCCTCAACCCCGGGGGTCGTGGGGGCGCGCGGCGAAAGTGGCATCCCCACCCCTTGACCACCCATATCTAAAACCTTTTAGGGTTTAGGGTTCGCAGAAACCCAGCCCGGGCGCGTCGTGTGCCATTTTTCGTGACGCGAGGAATCATCAAAGGTTTGGGCTTGGGTCTGGCCCGTCGGGCTGCCCGAAAGCTCGTTTGGGGCCGTCGGACTTCCCGAGAAAATTTTCTCGGCGACGGTTGAAGCTTCCACGACAGCCTGGGAGGGGCGCGTCGCGCGCACTCGCTTCCGTAATTTTGACACTGGCAGCTGGCCCGTTGGGCTTCCCGGAACAACTTTCCGGGCGACGGTCGAAGCTGCCGCGACAGCCATGGCTAACCCGCGCCGTCACTCACGCGCGCTCCACTATTCTGGCGCTGGGGGCTGGCCCGTCGGGCTTACCGAAACAATTTTCCGGGTGACGGCCAAAGCTTCTGCGACAGTCTCCCTCGTGCTCGCTTCCGTCGTTTTGGCGCTGGGGGGTGGCCGGACGGGCTTCCCGAAACAACTTTCCGAGCGACGCAAAGCGGAGGGATCTTGGACGGCCAGTGGTCGCAATGTCCGCTTTATCAATCAGAAGCCGACAAATGGCCAGATCTCTAAATTCGGGCTGCGGATGGCCGATTTCATATTGTCCCGGATAAGGAGTTTATCAGCGGTCAAGCCGAGCCATTTTTATCAATTGCAACTTTATCGAGGCCGGCCAGCCGCAATGCAAGCATCGGAGGGGCGCGTCGCTCGCACTCGCTTCCGTAATTTTTGGCGCTGGGAACTGCCGTTGCTTCCCGAAACAACTTTTCGGGCGACGGCCGAAGCTTCCGCGCCGTCGCTCGCGCGCGCTCCGCTGTTCTGGCGCTGGGGGCTGGCCCGTCGGGGCGCCAGCACCAATGCAGCTGCTGCGGCCGAGCACTTGCGGTACGGCGCTCGGCCTTGAGTTTATGGTTTCCAAGATGAAGCGCGCCCTCGACCCCGGGGGTCGTGGGGGCGCGCGGCAAAAGCGACATCCCCACCCCTTGACCACCCGCATCTAAAACCTTTTGGGGTTTAGGGTTCGCAGAAACCCGGCCCGCGCGTGCCACTTTTCGCGACGCGAAGAATCATCGAAGGTTTGGGCTTGGGGGGGACGGTTGAAGCTTCTGGGGGATCGGCAGGTGAATCAGAAGAGGACGAGGCGTCGTCACCGGATGTTTAAAAAAAGGCCTTTGCATGTACAAGTGATCATCGCGTCTCTGACAATACACAGCAAACCCAATCTGTATAAACACTTCTTTTTCGCGTTGGCCTTCCCTGCACATTTGCGAGGCCTGGTTCTTTGCAATCTAACGACACGTAGTCCCCAAAGTTCCCAGCAGTCCAACAACAATTACGTCTGGATGGCGTCCCTAGCACAAGATCGCAGCTGTTTTGGCAGCGCTGCTACAACTTGCCGGGACTGGCTCGGCACGTGGTCTGCTGGGCTTTGCGCCAAAGTTGTTTGTGCTCAGCGAGCTGCCCCACACAGCAGTCCACGGTGCCTCCGGGTCAAGCTTTCAGGGCTGCTGGCGGATGGTCGATTTCATATTGTACCGCGCAAGCAGTTTATCACAATGGCCGCTTTGTCACAGCCTCTTCGAAAGCTTCTTAAAAGCTCCTCGCAAAGCTTTTTCCAATTTGTTTTGAGGCTCCTCGCAAAGCGTTTTATTCCTCTTTTGCTTCTTTTGCAGCTTGAGAGAAAACTCCTTGTAAAGCTTTTTATATAGGTTCTTATAATCCACACAAAGTATCTTATACAGTTTCTAAAGCTTCTTACAAAGCTTCTTACACTGTTTCTGAAGCTTCTTACAAAGCTTCGTAGCTTCTTACAAAGCTTCTTCTAAGCTTCTTATAAAGCTTCTTCTAAAGCTTCGTCTAAGGAGCCTTCATAAAGTTCATAAGAAGGATGCTGCGCTTCGTTGAAGGTGCTGGAAGCGGGAGCGACAGCTCCAAACCGCGCTCGTTGCAGAGGAACGCAACTCGGGGCGCCATGCCGGACTAGCCTCCCTTGCGCTCGCTTCCGTCGTTTTGGCCGTGGGGGGTGGCCGGACGGGCTTCCCGACACAAATTTCCAAGCGATGAGGTTAGAACGCCAGTGGCTGCAATGGCCGTTTTATCAACCAGAAGCGGACAAGTGGCCAGATCTCTAAATTCGGGCTGCGGTTCATATTGTCAGGTGTAAGGAGTTTATCAGCGGCCAAGCCGAGCCATTTTTATCAAAGGCTGGCAAAGCGATTGGTCACTTTATCAAGAACGGCCCAAAGCCAAGGCCATTGCATGGCCGTTTTGTCAATAATGCCAGTGGCCGCAATGGCCGTTTTATCAACCAGAAGCGTGCAAATGGCCAGATCTGTAGATTTGGTCGGCGAATTGTCGATTTCATATTGTCCCGCGCAAGCAGTTTATCAACGGTCAAGCCTTTTTAGAAAGAGCTATCAAAGCCAGTGGCCGCTATATCAGACCGGCCAGCCGCAATGGCCGCTTTATCAAAGCCAGCCTCTTCGAAAGCTTCTTAAAAGCTCCTCACAAAGCTTCGTCCAAATTTTCTTTTAAAGCTCCTCGCAAAGAATTTTATTCTTCTTTGGCTTCTTGTGCAGCTTGATAGACAGCTCCTTGTGAAGCTTCTTATATAGGTTCTTACAAAGCTCCACACAAAGCATCTTATACATCTTCTAAAGCTTCTTACAAAGCTTCTTACACAGCTTCTGAAGCTTCTTACAAAGCTTCTTATAAAATTTCTTTTCAATCTTCTTACAAAGCTTCTTCTAAAGCTTCTTATAAAGCTTCCTCTAAAGCTTCGTATAAAGAGCCTTGATAAAGTTCATAAGAAGGACGCTGCGCTTCGTTGAAGGTTTGGGGTTACTCCTTCAATTGCTTGTGACTAAAAATACATCATATTTTAATCTTGCATCGGAATTATCTATTAGACTTCCTCCATTTGTTTTTATGTGACAAGCAATGCCAAAACGTGTGTCCTTTTTCCATTGCGTCACCAAGTATGAAGAATATATTACAAAAATTAACAAAGATGTCAGCGCCAAGTTGCTGGGGCAGCTTTGCAGCTAGGAGCCGACATGTCGATTTTTTGCGGCGGAGGTCTCAGAGGGCTCTAACACGCTGTTCTTGCCAGAGTGTCGTTGAAGAATACCGTAACACCACGTGCGCAGAAAGGCTAGGTCGGGTCTTGAGAAGAAATTTTGTCGCTCCAGTTCTGGCTGTTTCATGGGCATGGCGCACGCTTGCCACATGGCCTTGCCATGCCTTTTCTTCGGCAATTGCACGTCACTCAACCGGTCGCCGGCCTTATCATGCTTCTTGGTCGCGCAGCTGTGTGGTACAATTGTGCTGCAGTCTTTAGGGCACGTTGTATCCATAGTGGGCCCAACCATATTCCCGAATAATCTTGATTTTTTTGCATATGGTCTGGAACAATTGTTCCCGGTTCGGAGGCTCTACGTTGTCAGCGCACACTTGTATGCCGCAAGGTGCCCACCTGGGCACCTTGCGGCCGAAGATCTTCCTTTATAATTAGGCTGCCCCTTTGCTCCGTGCCTTTCCGACCCGCCAACTTTCGCGGGCATGACGCCTTACAAGTGTCCTTTGTTCTTTCGCCTATACTCATCGTCCTTTGTTCTCATGCTGTTCTGCCCCCGTTTAAAACGTTTCTTCGGCAGCCGTATGACTGGCCATTATGGAGAGGCGCTGTCCATGCCTTGTACACATTCGAGGCCCAGTGCTTCATATTGAGAAGGGCCTTCTTACCCGGTCATCTAGCCTGACGACGGCAAATGAATTGGCTCTAACAATCGCTCCGGCAGTCCAAGGAACGCAACTAAATAAGCAGGTGAAATAGTCTGATCCTATAGTATACAAAGAGTGCCGTTGTCTATTATATATTAGATGCTGAAGAACGAACATAAAGTGTTTCGCAAGGAGGATCTATATTGCTTGTCCCAGACCGTTTCCAGAAAAATCCTAAAATGTTCGAAAAACCGATCCCCACCACGGAAACGATAATAGCATTCAAATTTTGTTTTCATCTTCCGAAATTACCCTAAACCCTAAGCCTTAAACTCAAGGCCGAGCGCCGTACTGCAAGCGCTCGGCCGCAGCAGCTGCATTGGTGCTGGTGCTTGCATTGGTGCTGGTG